ATGTGTAGTCCCACATCACCTGCTTGCCGTCTGTCCAGTCTTGAAGGGTGATACTGGACGCTTTTGGCTGCCATCAGATCTACATAGTTGGAGTGGCTCCCTTACTGCTGGGCATCCGGCTGTTGTGAGGCTCCTCTTGATAATGTTATTAGCCTCATGTCTTGCAATCTTTTCCTCGTATTTACGGCACACAAAACCATGGTACCCGAATCGCTCTGCTGCTTCACTGCCACAAATACACCTGTGTTCGGCGAGAATAGAGGCGGCAAGTCGAAGGGCAACACCGACGCGGATGGTCTGTGGGTCGAGGTGTGTGCCAAGGCTGGAGTTGGGAACAGCCAACAGAAAGTCCCCTGCACGAGGAGCTCTCACTGCTGCAAGGCGGGCTCTATCCTTCCCCGACACACATTGAAGCATTTTTGAGGCCATCCCAGTGCGACTGTTTGTAGTTGTTGAGGGTAGCAGGTCTGGTTTCAGAGCCCGTTAGATTATCCCAGATCATGGCTCTGTCAATGAACTTCTGGTCCTGGACTCCAATCTTGTCCCTAAGATATTCAGGGAGAATCGTTGGTACAAGCCCTCTGGATGCAATGCACGAGGGCAGAAAAGCAGGTAGTGGAATCTGTGATGACTTGCGGACACCAATGCCTCCTAGTCTGACTGAAAGTGTAGCTTGGTTCCACTGTCCGTCTTCTAGAGTAAGGTTAAGCACTTTTGTAAAAATCTGCCTCAGGATACTGTCATATTCGTGCAGTATAGGGTTATCATATGAAGGTGCACATCTTAGGAAATATGTCAACCTGGGCAAACTCAAGTACTCTGTGAGAAGATACAAGGCGTAATGGGTGTCAAGATTGCCTATCGTTATTCCATTCTCCTCAACTCTTCCAGTTTCTTCCCGAGAATTGTGTCAATTGCATCACTTCCCAGAGGTGTTCCAAGCAAGACGCTATTTGTGGGGGCAATGACTGATGCTCCTGGTAGGTTTGATCTCACTGCATTTATCACTTGTTGAATAACCGAGATGATTTCACATTTGGATTATTCAGGATGAGACCCATTTCCTGTCTCCGTGTCATCACCTGTGTAAGATCATCTAGAAGGGACTTCTTTGTACCTGCTAGTGTGCCATCATCTGGGAACCAGATGTTTAGCTCACTGGTCAGCCTGACTGTGATTTCCCTAACTGCTATACAGAAGAGAGATGGTGCGAGAGGAACCCTTTGCTGGACACCCTCTGATGATGCGATTTCATGCTCTCCAAACAGGAGCATTGATTCTTTGCTATATCCAAATGAAACAAAAAGGAAGAGACCAGGGAAATGTTCTTATACAACTGCTAATACCACATCTCTTTTCAGGAGATTAAATGCATTCTTGAAATCTAAGTTACGACTGCATGGTCCTCAGGCAGATTGTTGATATACGCCCTTGATGCATGAACCGCTGCTTCACTTCCTTGAGAGACCCCAAAGCCAAGCTGGTTTGGCTGAAGATTATATATATATATACAGTGGAACCTCAAATATCGAACTTTCTTTGGTCCAGAAGGCTGTTTGAGTGCCTTTACCGAATGAATTTATTTCCATGAGGAATAATGTAGTTGTGTAATAATGGTATATAATACCGACAAGATGAAATTAAGACACATGTGCAGTAGAGATACCCAGATGTTGCACATATGTCTTAATTTCAGGAATAATGTAAATTAGGTTAGTCCATTTCAGACCCTCAAAAATACACTTATAAAAGCACTTACAAAAATACACTTACATAATTGGTTGTGTTGGGAGCAGTTCGATTTTTGAGGTTCCACTGTATATATATATATATATATAATATATATATATATATATATATATATATATATATATATATATATATATATATATATATATATATATATATATATATGTCGTGCCGAATAGGCAGAACTTGCGATCTTGGCTTAAATAGCAACGTTCATCTTGCCATATAGGACAAGCGAAAATTTGTGTATGCAATAATCTCACCAAAATCATTCTGAACCTAACGAAAAAAATATATTTCACTGTGTTTGTTTAGTATTAAATTATTGTAAACAAATCTAAAATATATTTAGTTGGGTTAGGCTAAAATAAATTGCGCTTGTTATAATAAGGTTAGGTAAGTTTTCTAAGTTCTTTTTGGTGCAAAATTATGAATTTTTGCATCAACATATATATATATATATATATATATATATATATATATATATATATATATATATATATATATTATATATATAATATACATATATATATATATATATATAATATATATATATATATATATATATATGTATATATATATATGTCGTGCCGAATATGTAAAACTGGTCAATTAGCAAGAACTCATTTAAAATTAAGTCCTTTCTAAAATTTTCTCTTATACGCTTAAAGATATATTTTTTTTCAATAAAGTTGATGTAAAAACTTATAATTTTGCACCAAAAGGAATTCAGAAAACTTACCTAACCTTATTTTAACAAGTGCAATTTATTTTAGCCTAACCCAA